AAATAAATAAAAGTCTTCGTTCTCTCTCTCTCTCTCCAGAACCTTCTTCCTCCCTCACACCCGAACCAGCCTTGCCTTGCACTCTGCGTCCCCTTGCTTCCGCAACTGAGCCTTGCCTCCTACACCCCCTGCTGCTGCACCAAACCAACCCTTGCTCCCGCACCAGATCCCTTCACCGCTGCACCAGATCCCGAGCCTTGCTCTGCCCTACCCTCTGCCATGCCTACGCCTAGCCTTGCTCTGGCCCTACCAACCATCACCAGCCTTGCTCTGCACCAATCCAGCTCTCTGCGCCCAGATCGCCTGCACTCTGCGCCCAGATCTTGCAATAATACCCCTGCACGCCCCCTTGCTAACATGTTCATGCATCATATCATCTCACATGCTCATGCATCATATCATCTCACATGCTCATGCATCATTGGTGCTACATGCTCATTCATCATGCATCATGCTTACATGCCTACTTGCTTGTGTGTGGATATATTCACCTTTTACACTTGGCTATGGAGTACTAAGTGAGTCTCTTCCCTTTTGTGTGATTATTTATATCTTGTTGCATGCTAAGTGTTGGTTGCTTTGTGCTACTAACCTTTTGCATTTGGCATGGGAGTACTAGGCGAGTCCCTTCTTACTATGTAAATAGGTTCGTTTGTGGATGCTATATCTATTGGGTGCTTTACATGTTTTATTCACTTATTTGCTTTATCTGTTTGTCATGGGATATATGTTGTTATTTTTGTGGTTGCCATTGTGCAAGTTATGGGAGTGTCATGCCCTTTGCACACACTCACTCTCATTTTTGCATTAAGTCCATGTCGGAGGTGAACCTGACCTCTAGTCTGGAATCCTTATGAATCTGGCTTGGAAGAGCACTTCTTCTCGCTTTGAGGTGTAAGATCGGTTCCCCTTAAGTTGTTTCCATTGGTTAATACGACACTTGATGATGTAATATCATTATGTGTATTAGCTTTTGGAAATATCTCCTGTTGATTCCGAAAGGATAAATGGTTGAGAAGGCCTAATGCCTTTTAGGAAAACATGTATTGGCCTTAAAAAGATACCAACCCTAGGACATGTTTCCCTTAGCATCCCACCCGTGAGGCTAGGCGTCTCATGTTTAAGGCACAAAAGGGGCATTTTACTTCGCTAACCTTCGTCTGAGCTTATTTTGCACACTTAATGAGGTATGGCATGTGAGGGTATGATTTATGTTTAACTCTTTTAAGCCATGTGTTTAGATAAGATCATGCATTAAACATGGATTTTACCGATCATACAATTAGACAAGGGAAGAGACTTGGGGAAGATGACACATCTCATTCTATTGCTAAGAAGGCTAAGGAGTCAATCTTTTTAGTCAATACCTCCAAACCTACTTGAAGCTTATGGCTTGTTGTCCTCTAGAGAGAAGCGTGACTTTGAGGTTCGATTTGGGTGCATCAGGGATCTATTGTTAATGATACCGGATTGGATTCGTTCAGAGCCATGTTGAAATTCTATGTGCCTAAATGTCAAGCTTTTGTGTTCCTACAGTTTGAGTTGGTGCCCACCATTGATGGGTATCATCACTTCCTACAATGTAGTCCTGCGATGAATTCTTGTATCTTTACTCCTTAAGCATAACTTGAGCACCTTGGAGGAAAATTTGTTACTTGGGAGCTTTTGTACAAACATCAGAAATGAAGATTTGAGGAAAACTTGCTTCAATGAATACAATCTTTCTTTTTTGTCAAAAGTGTATCCGATGAAGTAAAAATCCATGATTAGGATAGAAATTTTCATTTTTCAAGCCTCATATCACATATGCATATTCATTTGATTATACTTATATCTTTATTTGGTCATTTTGTGTTTTAGTTCTCAAGCTCATTTTGTTTGGACCATCTGTGATCTTTGAAAAGAAATATGGATTCTCACACAACCAAGACACAAGCTTCTTCATGTAAGGCTTTGTTGGAGTTTTCTGCCTGTACTCAAAGGCTCAATGAAGAAACCATCTTTTATTTGCCATAATTGACTAATGACAATGAACACCTTCACAAGGCCAACGACAATTGGAAGAGCAAGTACAATACATGACCATCAACTGTAATCTTTACAAAATTGCCATGGAGGACATGTGCTATCAACTCCAAGCTGAGAAACAAAAGAACCAAGCTCTTGTTGAAAAGGACATCGGCTTGCGTGAAGTTGTCATTAACATAACCGCTTTGGTGACTCAGTTTAAGGGAAAGATGGCCGAGACTCATCATCACATTGCTCAAAGGATCCATCCGGTTGACATGTCTAATGTGCTTAAAAGGCTGTATTAGGATTTATGTTCTGTAATGAGTTTGTTTTAGCTTTAAAAAGAATGAAAGTTTGTAAGCACTTTGAATCCAACTTTGTAATGCTTGCTAACCTTGTTTAAAGTGCAAAAATATCTTTGTACAAGATGGGAACGTCGATGTGAGAATCCGTATGGAACTTCAAAGGGCAAGCTAATGGTCCAATCAAAAAGGGCTAAAGTCTCTTTAGTTTTAAAATTTTTCCTTTTTGTCTTTACATTTTTGTTGTTAGGTAAAATTCTTCTAATCATAGCTCCAAGGTGAAAGGTCTTCAAAAGGCGACGCTCTCCATGTTTGCTCAGATCTAGAGTAATCAAAATGTCTGAGGAAGATACCGCTATTAATCCAAAGAAATCAGCCATGGATGAGAAGGTTGATAAGTTGGAAGCTACAATGCAAACTATGGCTACTACTCTTCAAACCATTAGTCTCACTTTGTCTACTTTGTCCACTTTGACTACTGGTTTGGTTCCTTCACCTGCATCCTTAATACCCACAATACCAATTCCACCTGTCCCTACCATCACACCAGGTAATCATGCTAAGGATCCCATGGTCACACAATTGCAATTTCCACCTATTTATGAGAATCAGCCTTTAGTGGTGGAGTCATAGTCACATGCTCCACAAATATCATCTTTGCCCTTTGAAGCCTCATACCCACCATTTGAGATGAACAACCCTACCTTGCCCACAACCTCACCTCTTACCCTTAACATACCACCCTTGATTGGACAAGTGCCAACTATTCAACCCAACCCCTTGGTTGCGATGCTAAGGCCTGCTTTAGAGGATGGGAAATCAAGAGAGGTTGATCACAAGCTGCAACAATTAAAAAAGGCTTTGAAGGCTATGCAAGGGCCGCAAGCTTATGGTTCCACTGATTTGGATGATCTTTGTTGCTATTCGGATATTCAGAGAAATTTCAAGTTCAAGCAGCCGGATTTTGACAAGTATGATGGCTTAAGTTATCTTTATACCCACCTACAGATGTATCCTAGGAAGATGGCACCTTATGCTAATGATGAAAGGGTGCTCATTCATTATTTTCAAGACAGTCTCTCAGGCCTAGCAAGTGTTTGGTTTTCAACGCTTGACAAGAAGAAGATTTGCACTTTCAAAGATGTGTCTCAAGCTTTCATGAAGCAATATAAGTATAATATGAGTCTGGCCCCTACAAGAGATAGCTTGTAGAAAATTACCAAGAAAAGTAATGAGACCTTTAAGGAATTTGCTCAACGGTGGAGATTCGAAGCAGCTAAAGTCATGCCACCTCTCACCGACAATGAAATTTGCTCTCTCTTTATCAAGTCGACTACCAGGACTTTCCGTGCATGGTTAGCTCCTTGTGTGGGATATACTTTCACTCAGCTAGTAACAGCGGGTGAACAAATTGAAGATGTACTTAAGACAGGCATAATTATGGACTTTCAAGCCATCCAGAAACAGTTAGAACAAGTCAAAATGGGTAATGTCCGGTCTACTTCAAAGAAGTTTGCACCTGGAGAAAGAAAAGAAGATGAAGAAGCTCTGAGTCATATTTCCACCTGTCATGTGGCAAATATTCCTTATAAGTGCTAGCCTCAATTGCAATACACCTCGGCTTATAAGCCTACCACTCACTCTCAAAGGAGGCCAAACTTTAATGCTCACACTTCGTTGAGGTAGCAATTGCCATCTACAAATAGGTCAAGACAGTTTGCTAAGCTTCCAATCCCTTATGGTGAGGCGTTGAAACAATTAGTTGTAGTGGGTTTATTGGAGACAATGCAAGCGGACCTTATTTAACCACCTTATCCGTACTGGTATGATCCGCAAGCTAAGTGCGAATATCACAATGTGGTGGGTCATGGTATTGAATACTGTGCAACTTTGAAAATAAAATTCAAGATCTTATCGATGAAGGTAAACTTCAGTTTGATGTTAATGAAGCCAAGAGTACTCCGAACATCACTCAAAATCCTTTACCCCTTTATGATGCTGGCACAATGAATATGGGCGCCCTTGATGAAGTTGAAAAGCCCATGTTGGAGAATGCTAGTTTTTCGTCTCTTGGTGAATTTATTACCATTTTGACAAAGTATGATTTGATTCAGTCGATTGCACAAATGAGCTTGAATGTTTCGCTTGCGATGATTGATGATGCCTTGGTGTGTCCTTACCACTCCAATATGACGGGGCATGCTTTGCGAGATTGTGAAGATTTTCAGAAAAAAGTTAAGGAGTTGCAAGCAATGGGATTTTTGAAGTTTGTGTCTGCTCAGGTGTCAGAAAAATGTATAGCACAATTTGAAGACATGGGTGTGGAACATATCACTGATAAGGTCTGTTTTGATGATGAAGAAGACTATTTTGGCTTCAACAATCTCTTTGGGCTGGCCAACATTGCAAATCTTAAGGAGAAGTGGAGAAGGATACTAGCTGAAAGGGCATTCATGGAGAAGCACCTCGATTTCCATCTTGTTCATTATGCGAAAGCTCCAATGGGTTCACATGAGTCTATGCCTTTTGAATCAATGAAAGAAGAATCACTATGTGACTCATGGGGAAATTTGACTATGAATGCTCTAGATGAGGAAAAACCGAAATTTGATAGGGGAATTTCTCTAGTCAATGAAAGCTCTCAAGCTAATTGGACAGCGAAGCTTCTCCCGGTAGCTTTCATCCCTGAGTAAGAAGAGTCAATCTCTAGTGGTTCTGCTTGCTACTACATGAAGGGAGGGATTCAGTAAGCACTTTTATATTTTTTGAAATTTATGTTACTATGCTTCTAGTATTCCCATGCTTTCCTTTTCAATAAAACATGTTGCAATCCTACCCATCATTGTAAAAATCATCATGATGCAACTTTACTTGAACTTTCATTGTACAAGCCACTTTTAACATGTTCTTATCTTTGCTTTATTATTATTTGGCCATTTATTTACTTCCATCCATAATTTTCAAGCCTGCTAATGATGAATCTTTAAGCAATTATGTCATATCAGACTTTATATATGAGATAGATGATCAGACCTATAATGAAGAAGACAATGAAAGTCCTGATCCTTCTCATGAACTAACTCAAATGCTAAGAGAGGAAAAGCCAATGCTACAACTAAATCAAGAGCTAGAAACAAAAAGGAGATAAAAATCAATCCTCAAAAAAAAAAAAAAAAAAGTTGATGGTCTCAACTTGTTGATGAGAAAAGATTGGTAGCTCTTTGCCATGGCCAATGTTATCAGTGACAAATGGCAACAACATACAACAAGAAAGTTAGACCTAAAGTGTTTCACCAAGGAGATCCTGTCCTACGGAAGATCATGCTAAATGAAAGGGACCCTAGGGCCAAATTTGCACCAAACTATGAAGGGCCCTATGTTGTTAAAGAAGCTTTCTTTAGAGGAACACTCTTGTTGAGATATCTATATGGAACTGATTTTCATCATCCAATGAGTGCCAACATTATAAAAAAAAAAAAAAGAAAAAAGAAAAAAAGAAGAGAGTTAGGTCAAAACCGGGAAGGGCAGCCTAACAAGTTAAATGTTTCCTTGACTTGGAAAGTGGAAATCTAATGATGAAAGGCCCTGTTTCTTTACCCTAAATAGTTGAAAATTACCCTTTTGCTTACCCCTTTTGACCCAGAAAAAGGTAATCATTCAAATTTACAAAAGCCAAGATGATTTTCTTTCTATTAACCCACATTAATGATCAGGGAAGTGAAGAAGGAATGTGAGGGGAATATATGGATTTTGAGCCTTTATCCTTTCTTTCATCGTAACCTAACCCAAGCCATGTTACAAGCCTATGTAAGGTCCTTATTTGAGGGTTTGAAGTTTTTTATGTCAAGGGGCATACCAAAAAAAAAAAAAAAGAAGAAGAAGAAGAAAGAAGAAACAGCAAGGCTCCAAGCATTGGTAGTTGGGAACTTATTTCTTCTGAGCATGAAAGTTAGTTCATGAAAAGGGGAAAGATTTGAAGTGTCAACATTCAGAAAAGGAATGAAATTCTCTAGCGTGGACTAAAGGACTGACGGGCAAAGTTGCAAAAGAAAAGATGATCTGAAGCAATGATTTATGGTCTGAATATCCTGTCACCAGTTGCATCAAAATCTTGTATTGTTGGCCAGACTTCTTTTTGTTACTATTTAAAGTGGACCTTTTGATCATCCTGACCTTGCTTAAATCTAATGAAATAAATCTTTGCAATCATTTTGTTAGCATTTTACTCCAACCTCACCTTTTATTCAGTATTGGGAATGATAGTGGAACATGAGGCTTTATTTCAGTTAATATAATTGCTTATCTAATCAAAATCTTTTGATGAATTCGAAAGGTTGGATGAGGATTACAAGGAGAAAGGAAGCTGAATTTGTAGCTAAGGAGTCATCCATGTTAGCTGAAACTCTAATAGCAAATGAAAGTTCAACTTATTGGGGCAATATTTCTAAATATCCCCTTATGGGAAAGAGATGAGATTCTACCTATTGCACTCAACATGATCTACATGAATATGAATCTACCAAGCTACTACACAGAAGTGATCACAAGATTGTTGAGCACACAACACAAAGAACATTTGACTCTTGCCAAACATGGGCATCCACCATATGTTTAGGGCAGTTTCTTAACCTTTCTTCATTTTACATTATTTTCTATGTGAAAGTTGTCTCATTGTTACAAAATTTTCAAACATTACCTTCATCCGGCCCCTTAGTCATGTTTACCCTTATTCGGCCTTGTTGCCACTCAACTTACCCGGTTATAAAACTGCTTCTTATTCTGCTATAGAACTGTTTCTTGTTCGATTAAACCGTTTGTGCTCAACTAACTAGGTTATACAACCATTGCTACTCAGTTGGCTCAGTTAAAAGAGATACGGCTACTCAACTTGCTCGGTCGTTTGACCGTTACAATTCAACTTATTCGGTTATAAAACCGTTTCTTATTTGGTAATAAAACCATTTCTTGTTCGGTTATACAACTGTTGCTACTCAATTTGCTTGGTCGTTTGATCGTTGCAACTCAACTTCTCAGTTATAAAACCGTTTCTTGTTTGGTTATAAAACCACTTCTTGCTCAGTTATAAAACTGTTTCTTGCTTGGTTATAAAATCGTTTCTGTTCAACTAGCTTGGTTATACAACCATGACTACTCAACTTACTCAGTCGTTTGACTATTGCAACTCAACTTACTCAGTTATAAAACTGTTTCTTATTTGGTTATAAAACCATTTCTTGTTCAGTTATAAAATCGTTTCTACTCAATTAGCTCGGTTATACAACCGTTGCTACTTAACTTGCGGTTATAAAACCATTTTTACTTTACTTGTTTGGTCATTTGACTATTGCGGTTATTAAAACTTTTCACTTTTCTTGTTCTATCATTTGACCGTTGTGGTTATAAAACTATTTTTATTGTGCTTGTTCCGTCGTTCAACCATTGCAGTTATAAAACCATTTTCACTTTACTTGTTCGGTCATTTGACCGTTGTGGTTACAAAACCATTTTTATTTTGCTTGTTCGGTCATTCGACCGTTGCGGTTATAAAACTGTTTTCACTTGCTC